CAATGTCTGACGGATTGGAAGGAGTTATGGGTAGACGAGGCCTATTGGCACCTCTTGTTCTCAGCGGTTCTCTTAGTCATTATGGTGTTGTGGAGGCCCACCAATAATAACCAACGGTTTGTGTCCATAGATATTGTGGGAACTATTGAAGTGATAATGTGTTTGTACTTCAGATACGCTTTCACTCCACTGTTGGACGCGAGCGAAGACGAGGACGAAGACAGAGACCAACAAATACCTCACGAGGCGTTCGGTCAGTGTCTCAGACATTGCGGTGTCTTTTGATGTCATTTCTCATTGACTTTTTTTTGGTGGACAGACGGCATGAAAATGCGAAACCACGGCAACAATCACATGGAGTCCGGAGATAAGGAGGCCGTCATCAGCAGAGAGACTGAGGATCACCTGAAGTGGATTGAGGCCAACATCCCGACGTCGATGATAGACAACGCGCTGCCGGCGCTCATCGACTCCGACGAGGAGATAATGACCACAAAGTTAGAGATGAGTAAAATGGAGTGAATTTATGGTTTGATATTAAGAGAAGATATTAATGAATGATATTTAATATAATAATACAAATAGAAGTGATTTTTATTTANAGACGAGGAGATAATGACCACAAAGTTAGAGATGAGTAAAATGGAGTGAATTTATGGTTTGATATTAAGAGAAGATATTAATGAATGATATTTAATATAATAATACAAATAGAAGTGATTTTTATTTATAAATCGTTTCCCACTTTCTCTCACATAATAAGCCTTTTTTAGTCAAACAATTCATTTTAATTGACAAAAACACATGTCATTTATATATAATTATGTTTTTTTCTCTTTAAAAGCCTTTAATTTATTTAATTTTTAACGACATTTCAAAAGTAATTAAATTATTAATGAATAAAAAGTTTTTAAGAATTGGTTTTCATATCCGAGTCGTTGTGTTGAGTGACGAGTGGTTTGAATCGTCGGTTGTTTTTGTGTTTGTTTGCTGGAAGTCCTCAACACTTGTGGTTAGTGTTGAAGACTTTTATCTCATTTATCGGTTTCGATGTCTGTTTTGACGTCTCGTTTGTCTCTCAAGAACTTCACGTATTGTCGCGTGTTTTCGATGGCCTTTGCGTTCATCTCTTCGTAGAAGTCTTTGAGCCGATCCTTCACTCCGTCCATCCATTTGCAAGCATTCCTCCAACGGCTCAACGGGTAGTCCGTGGCCTCCAGTAGTGACAGAC